CCCACTTATTTAATTTTATGAAATTTCGAGAAATTCTTTTATGTAGCTCTTAATGCTTATATTAGTCATAAGGACAAGTCCTCTGAGAATTTAAATCATGATTTTTTTTGTCACCCGGTTGCAGAATCGTAAAAAAAAAAAAAAATGAAATAAAACTATTTTTTTTAATTTAATTAGAAATGCTTTTAATTGCTTTTACGTAAAATATATTATAGATACTATTGAGTTAAGAAAAAATGTTTTTTCTATGAATACTGAATTTTTACAAGAATTGTTTTCTTGAAAATATTCTAAGCAGTCTAATTTACTGGCTAGTTAAAAAATATATATTAAAAAAGACGTTAACACTATATTCGTCAATTATTTTTTTACAGTTATATCCCCCTTAGAGAAAAACTCCCAAACAAGTCTAGCGAGGAAGTTTGCCAGCACCTCATAAAACACTCACCTCCGTGTTAAAATGCTTTTCTACAATATTTTAAACTAAAAGTAATATTTGTTTCAAATCAGATTAATTAAACTTTAAATTAGCTAATCTTCTTCAAATAAAGTTTCAGAAAAGTACATTTTATTTTTTAAAGATTTTTTAATAAAGAGAATTACGTTGTGTTTGTAAATATGGACGATTTTAGCTTTTTTACTGATTATAAAAAAACTCATTCCAATTAATTTAAATCCGGGTGGAAATATAGCAAAGTATTTTACTTATTGGTAATATTAAATTTTATCTATCAGCTTGAAATTAAAACTAAAATAAAAGCTTTATGAAAAATTTTTCATTTTTAAAAATGCCTTTTAAACCTTAGGTATCGCTTTTTTTTCTTTTTTTTTTTTAGGGTACCCAATTTTTATTTCATTTATTTTCGTAAGTGAAAGGATATTTTGTCGGTAGTTTAGACATTTCATAAGAAACTTTTATATCACCGATGCACACTTATTTCTTTTGTTTAACATGAAGCTTATAAACATGACAAGGCTCAGATTAGTTAAGAAATTAAGCATAACCACCAGACCAGGCTTAGATTTGTAACGCAACGTTATTAAACATTTAGTATCTGGAATTTCTAACTTTCATTAGGGTTCTATTTTAATATGAATTTGCTAAGCATAACCAGACTCAGCTATAATTGCTTGAAGCTAATAATAATAATAATAATAATAATAATAATAATAAACAATGTATTTTTCGTTAGTGTTCTTCCACTTCGCATTATCTCTGTGCAAGAGCGTCTCGGTCGCTTTCAGTGTTAGAAACAGTAAGAAAAATATTTTACGGGGACTGTGTTGCAAGAAGGCTGTTTCTTCAAGGAATCCCATTACGGACATTTCATCTTTATCTCTGCCAATAATAATTGAAAGATGAACCAAGAAAAAAATCCATTTGAACTTTTGGACAACAAAAATTTAAAGTAGGAAATTATGAAAGCCTTGTATTTGTACTAAAGTAAAAACACTGAAACATATGAAATTATGTTAAAATGATATAAGTAATATGAATTGGTAGCATCAAACGAATATCACAGCAAACAAGATTGTCTTGCTATCATTTTATAGAAACGGAAAGAAATGTTCTTGTTTGATTCTCAATAGTTTTATGAAATGATTGCAGTCTTGAGTAAAGAATAATATTTTGTCATTTTGATTTTCATTTTTGTCTCAGTAGAAAATTTGATAGGATAATTGAATTCGATCGTGAGAAAAAAATCAAATGACCTTTGACGCTGTACTAATTACATTCTTTTATGCAATTTTGAAAATAAAAGCCATGACTTCTTATAGGTGACGTCTCTCTTCAGGATACGAGCGATCACATCTTTTGTTTTGTAGTATTTAGCAATGTTTGTCTTTTTACTCCCTGTTATGTCATTCATTCACTCGCTGTTTCCCTCTTGACTTCAATATGTCCTGTGAATGTCAAATTCTCCAAACCCTTTTTCTTCAAATGCTCGGGAAGTTTTAACTGCCTTTTTCTGATTCTAAATTTGTGTCTTTTTTGTTCCCATCCTCTTCATCTGTAACATACAAAAATCAGCTGCTTTCGTTGGAAAATACGTCTGATAGATACTCATTACAGCACAAGTTTATGTTACATTTCTAAACGATAAAAATAGGAAATAAAACAAACAATTTTATTTATTTACACAAAAAGAATTCTTGAGTTGAAAGTCTAAATCCGTATGTATTGGTCTTTTATATACTGCGGTCTTAAGTTCACGTTCTGCTGTGAATCGCAATGACATCAACTAAAGTTTAAAGTAAATTTGATATTATGTTCTCTTTTCACTGTAGACTTTTTTTTTAAATGATAGACGGATGTAATTAACATAGTCTAAAAAACTATTTGTCATTCTCCTGCTGTTGCATAGGTATCATTCAAATATTTGAGCTGTAGTGGGCTTTTAATGATTCGTATGCTGGTGAAAGCGGTAATCCCATTGATAAGTTTCCGCTACTAGCACAAAATCTTAACATTCGTTCCTAGATGACGTTAGTGTTGTTTTAGGTGAAGAAATTAAAAAGAAAAAGTGTTAAGAGAACTCTAAAAGCTATTGGATGAAGTATACAGCTGAGGAATTAATTTTTGGCTGATATAATATCAGCCAAAACATTGGATTAAGAATAGCATTGAGGCAGAAATCTGAAAATATATGAAGTAACGTTACTAAACTGATTTGTAAGAAAAATATATACGAAATAAATATGTAAATATTACAAGTTTATTTGTTTATTTTAACTTTTAAATCAAAACAAATGTATCCACTGAAGATGTGTTGTTAAACAAAATTTGAAATCATACAAAAATCTTACAGAAACATATTTGAAATCCTACAAAAAAAAAAGCAAATACCATCTACGCCAAACAAGTAAAACAGAAAGCAAAAGAACTTGGACAAATGAAATTACAAAAAGAAAAAAACTGGGAGGACAAGGTGTTGCATGGCATATACATAAAAAGAACGAAAGAAGAACGAAAACACATCAGTGGCTGAGGATCGTCAGGATCAAAACTGAGACAAAAGGCCTAATTATTACAGCTCAATACCAAAGCCTCGCAACAGGATCATATCACTGTCACATAATCAAAGATGGAATTAACCCGAAATGCAGGATGTGCGGAAAATATGATGAAACTGTCGACCATATTATCTCAGGATGTCCGGAACTAGCAAAAATGAATATACCCACAGATATAAAAAGGTGGCGACATATGTGCACTGGAAGATATGCAAGAAGCACAAAATCGAAACCACTGAGAGATGGTATGAGCACCAACCACAGTTGCCCAAAATAACGATGTAACTATCCTCTGGGAGATGCCAATTCAAACTGACAGAGAAATAAAAGACAATAAGCCTGATATTATCATAAAAGACAAGAAATTCAGGAAATGTATGCTTATTGATATAGCACTACCATCTGAGAGAAACACCTCCATAAAAATTATCGAGAAATTGTCCAAATACAAGGACTTGGAGATCGAGATTAACAGGATGTTAAGAATGAAGACCGAGACTGTCGTACCAATAGTAATCGGAGCTCTGGGCCTCGTGAGAAAAGGAATGAACAATTTTACTGTGTCCCAAGTGACATCAACATACAAGTTGCCTAGATCGCCCTACTAGGAACATCCCGTATACTAATAAAAATGCTATCAATTAAATGACAGTTCTCCTTATAAGGCCTAATGAGCATAGTTTGGACCCGGCTCTGCAGAATACAAAGCAGTAAACATAACATACACAAATAATAAAGCCAATTTGATCAGCATATTATATGACAATTAAAATCATGTTGGTTTATTTTTTCAATCTTTGCTAGTTTTTGTTATTAGTGTTCATTTTCTTATGAAATTTAAATCGTCTTACTTCCCAAATTAGCGTAAATTTTATTTATTTATGGAGCAATAAACAATGTGGATTGAATAATGCGACTCAATTCACATCACCATCAATGTAAATTGTAAGGTTATGCTGCTGGCAACATTAAAAGTAAATCATAAGTAGTTGTTGAATTGAATAATTTCAGATCATTTCAGTTTTAATATATTGACAGCGCTCTATACGAAAAAATAAATTCGTTTGAAATATATGAACGTGCTAGCCTGTTTATACAAAAAATAGGGTCTCTATTTTATTTCAATAGAAGGAAATATGTAGATATTTTATTAATTGGTTCGTAGGTCAATTTTATATTTCGCGATTTGGATTATTATACAATCTAAATAAACACACACACACACCAAAAAAAAAAAAAACAAACACTGAATATAGGCGCTGCTGCGCAATCTACAGGAATCAGTCATGAGGATTCAAATTTGTATTAACAGGAAATTCAGTATAAAAGAATAAGAACATTAAAGAAAATGCCTATAACTGCTGAACTTGATAATTATCTTTGTAATATTTCTTTTCAGGATCTAATGATACCAAGATATCATCCGATGATTCTTCGATAAGACGTAATCGAACAGCATTCACACGAGAACAGCTAGAAAGACTCGAGGAGGAATTCTGTCGGGAAAAGTATGTTTCTCGACACAAACGTTGTGAATTGGCCATTACACTTAGTCTACCCGAAAATACTATTAAGGTAAAGGACTTTTTCTATTAGTTGTAAAAAAAAAACACAAAAAGAAAAACAAATATTTTTAAGAAAATGTGCTTGTAACAAGTATTTGTTCTGTTGCGAGTGAATAATAGGATTTCATGCTTGGTTGGGAGCATCTTCTTCAGTTTAAATCAATATTTGTTAAATTCTAGCTTGGAAAACGTTTATATTCTCAGTTAAACTTTTCAATTAGTTTATGTTATTTTCTTCATTGTAACTTTTTCTATCAATCTGATTTTGAATGAAAAACTTTTTTTGTTCGGAATTTATTTCGCATAATGATTTAACATTTCAGTTTATTGATAAATAAAAGCTTTATTTAAAACTAAAATATTTTTCCAATTTATCAGGTGTGGTTTCAAAACCGTCGAATGAAATCGAAACGTCAACGGATGGCTATCAACTGGCCGTACAGTTTTGACCCTCAGACCCAAGCCTATTTGGCCGCCGCTGCTGCTTCTTATACTTATACCTGGATACCACCACCACCAACATCATCGCCTGGATCATCTACATATTCGTTAATTCCTTTGCCAACTCAACTGTATTTTGCAACATCTACCTCAAATCCTAATTCTATAACACCATCTTCAGTGTCACCTTCATCATCTGTGAACAACCATGCTTGCTGCATGACACAACCTTCAGCACCAAACCGCGGTTCGTACACTACACTAGCAGCAGCAACAACTTCCAAAATTCAATATAGCAATAATAATAAAATGGCTGCATCTGATTTTCTTGCACTGGATCCGTCGAACATTAACAATAGCACTGCTCCTTTTTCACAGCTACAAGAACACATAGATATTCAACGCCATTATTCTCGATGCCATCAATATGAACAACAAAATGGTTACAGAGCATTTCTCACTCATGATTCTTTACATTCTAATGGTTTCTATTCGCAGCCTCCATCTCACTCTGATTATACTACTTGGATTAGCAACAAACCGATTATTTCGTCCTCTGATAATGCCGAGCATGTAGCTACGATAAGAGTGAATGGCTCCAGTTCTGAGACAGAAAGTATGAGTTCAGATACTGAAATAGTAGTCGATGATGAAAATGACACTGACGTTACTGTGAATTCAAAAGAGAATGAAATTGATACACTGAATGAAGAACAAAAATTAGAAGGTAAATCTAAGCATCGTATTCTTAAATGTTATGCTAATAGAGTTCGCGGTATATTTCGACCATTCTGATAGTCACGAAGATTATATTTCATATTGTTACTAAGTGTATGATGACGATTATTCGCGTGAATAACATTTGAACATGATGATTAACTATAAATCAAATAGCCAATGATATTAGTATATCTCGTGAGAGAGTTGGGATTATTCTGTACAATAAACTTGGCATGATGAAGGTTTCTGGCGTGGGTGCCACATCTACTGACACTTGATCAAAAGTTCACCAGACTCAACAAGTTTGAGGCAGATCCAGCTGGTTTCCTAATCCAGAATGAGTGGTGTGGTCATTATTTCGACCCAAAGACAATCCATGCAGTGGAAACACCCCTTCTCACCTGCTCTAAACAAGGTAGATTCAGTCAATATTTCTGAGATGTAGTGGACACTGTGCTTATTGACTTATTCAAAGGGGCCATGCCATCAATGGAGAGTACTATGCCAACTTGCTGAGTCTGTCAAGACCAAATGCCTAGAAAAACTGATAAAAGGTGTCTTGTATCATTAGGGCAATGCTCCAGTAAACAAGTCCTTCGTTTCAATGACTTCTGTGTGTTAACATGGCTTTGAACTAATTGAACAATCTACCTATTCTCCTGATTTTTCCCCATCTGACTATCATCTGTTCCCCCAACATAAAAAAAAAATACTTGGCTGGGAACCAGTATTTCAGTGATGATAATAATGATGTTGAGGACTTTTTTGACCAATAGGATGAAAGTTACTTCACCAATGGAATCCAAGCACTGTAACACTGATGAAAGAAGTGCATGGACCACAAGGGGGGACAATGTTGAAAAATAATCCTCATTTGGTCTCATTTCATGAGAGTATTTTGGTCAGCCTATGAACTTTTCAGCTGACTCTCATAATACTCCAATTTAAACAGTTTCTGATATGTAAGAAAAAGTGGAGAGCTTTTCAATCAACCATAATCAAAGAGACTTGTTCATAAATTTATTTAAAAGTAAAAAAAAAAAATTATCAATGAAAACAGGTAAAATGTTTTAAAATGAATCCTCATCTGTCCTCCAATTTGTTTTTGGTGTGGCTGTCATACAGTAAAAGCAGAATATTGTAGTGATATTTAATTATGAGAATACTGCTAAAATGTTCTAACTTGAAGATTAAAGTATTTTCTTGTTTCATAGAGGTCTATGTTTGCACTCACCCCCAATAGCAATGATCCAATTTGTTTGTTTGTTACAAAAACTGAAACTGAAATTATATCAATGGTGAAAGAGAAAAACAAAATGAAAATATTACTAACAGCTGCAGAAAATGAGACCTTCCTTTCATAAAAAAAAACATAAAATATTTCTTTTTTATATGACAGGTATCAGTAATTTATACAGAATTATAAACTTTTGTATTTTACTTCTCTTTTCCTCCATAAACATTTTCATATTTCACTACAATTCTTTTTTTAAATGTAAGTATGTATGTACCCAAATTATTTAAACATTCAACCTCTGCTGATAGGGGATTAGTAAAGCTAACTTTAAATTTTTTTTTTTAGTAAGGTTAACTTTAAATCTTTAAAAGTAGTTTGGTTAATTACAGAATAGTTTCCTCTTATTTGCAAATAATAAATATACTAATATAAATTCTGTAAATAGGAAGTAACTTGATATCAAACGAGTATACACAGAAATAAACCTGACAATTGTTATAGTTTTGCAAATTCATTCTGAACCATTAAAGACAATGAGAAAAAATAAATATGGTAGGAATTTCAAATGAGCTATTTATAAGTAAGGTCCTGTATAAATATGAAAATGCACAAACATTAAATAAAGTTTGTATTGTATTAAAAAACGTTTCTATTGTATCAAAAAATGTTTCTGTGAAGTTATAGTATTTTAAAGTGGACATATGCAATATCTAACAATTTTTGTTGCATTAAACCCGAATTAGTGTTTTAAAAACTTTTTGGTGAGAATTCATTTTGCATGAAAGTGACATCATGTTCAGAGAACTGTTTTTTTCTCAATGTGGTGGCCATGCAGAAAAAGTTATTACAAATTTATGACAATCAAAAATTTAAAAAAAATATTTATAAGGATGCATTTTGGGTGAAAATTTGCATTTAAATTTCTTTGAACATAAATTACTTAGTTCATTTTGTGATATTTAAAATAAAACTGATTACACAATGTTTTGTGCAATGAGGTAATGTTGAAATTTATATTTAAATATTACATCAAGAGGAATATTTTAGTTTTCTGATTCAGTTTACCATGATATAAAACAAAATAATTTTTATGCCTATTGAAATGAATGGCTATAAAAAAATATATCATTTGATTGACTTTTTTCTATCAGAATGTAAGTGGGGGGGAATTTTCATGATAAATGAAGTTTTAAAATATTAAAATATATCAAAATCTTTCTGCTTTTCAAGATATATAAAAAAAATAATCATATAAGATGAATTTGATATTTTCCTGGAGAACAAATGAAAAATTACAGGAGATTTGAAAAAAGAAATGTTTTATTGTTATATTGTAAATCTTGGAGAAGCACTCCAGAAATTCTTTTTGGTAGATTTGTGTACAGATTAAACTAACTGCTAATAATAATGCACTTTTGAAAAAAAAAAAAAAAAAAACTGTTTACGGCTGCCTAGAGATGTACAATCAGGAACTTACAATATTTTCAAGAGGATCATGTCACATTTGAAGTGACTGTAAAAAAATCTCTCTGCAGGAGGCAAGCCTAATGTATAGGCATTGCTGTTATACATTTTCTCTCTCTCTCTCTCTCTCTCTCATTCATAAATGTATCATAAAAAAGGTTGCATGAAGAACATATACAATAAAATATTTTTTCAATGTTTGTTCAAAATTTAAGCCAAGAATCAAACATTAAATTGCAAGCTGAATTTGAAATATAAACAATTTAAATGTACATAATTTCCCTATATTATTAATGTAGCTCTTAAAAATTGATTTATCAATAATTCATTAAAAAAAAAACAATAATGGGGATCCTTTTGTATCTAAAAATATATATTATTTGTAGACAGAATATAAATTGTAATTACTTCAAGTGACAAATCTCTAAGAAAAAGATTTAAGAATATATTGACTTCAATAAAATTTAAATTCAAAGAAGATGGATTGAAGAACTTATCAGAAAAGTAAGAAGATGATTGAAGCAAACTGAACCATTTTTATCATGTACTACTTACTACATCAATTTCAATGCTTCAATTTTGCCTGGCTTCTGCAATTTTCCCAGTAAAATTTTCTCTTTTCCATAAACATTTCTTTAAAGTGTACACACACACACACACACACACTCAATAAGGAACTGAGTAAATTTCCAAGACACTTTTAACATTACCTTAGCATTGCACAAAAGAAACTTTTGCATAAATCTAACAAGCAAAAAGTCATCCTTTTGAGTTGTATTTAATCATAAAATACTTTATTTTGGTCATTTAAGTTTTGAAAAGGTCATTTTCAATGCTAATAAAAAATAAAACATTAAAATATTTTTAATCATATAATGGAATTTGTGATTGGTTTTCATGAAGAACATTAGTATTTTGTCCTTCCCAAACAATTCATATTAATGGAATGTTTAATTGAAATATTTTCTTAGAAGAGAAATTCCACATTCAATTACAAAATTTTACATTGTAAAATGAGCATGTTGTCTATTACACATCATGTGTCAAATTCAATCTGGCCATGCAACTTTACAATTACTCCTTAATTCTTCAAATAATTGAAGAAACAAATTCTATGATGAAGAGAGATAGTACATAGAATCTAATCACTTAGAAATCAGAGACTGAAGAAAAAAAATTATTCATTAAAGTTTAATCTAACAAAGCACATAAGAAGATAAAGCTAGTCTTAGAGACAGAGATGACAATCTACTTATCTTTATTTTGAAAATCAGTATTTGAAATATTAGCTTTTATCTAAGCTTGAATACAAATTATTAGTCTGACAGGAAATAAGCAGCAAGCTCACACACCAAGCAAACTCATATCCTGTATGTTTCCTTAAGTATTATTTTTATAAGTACATGAATAAAAGTTTATTGCATATTGTATAAAGAGACTTGCTGAATGACTGGATATATTCACAAACTATTAGCCACTTTTAATACCTCATTAGAAATAAGAAATTCAATATGGCCATTTTCATAAACCACATTTGCCATAGAAGCTTAATCATCTATTTAATAAAAAGTAGTAATAATGGGTAAAACAAGTAATAAAATAATAGTGAAAATGATTCTAAAAGTTTCAATAATAAATCTTGCAAATATTTAAAATTCATTATCAGTAGCCTAATCAATTGGTTCAATGTTGACTGCGTTAATAACAAGAAAAGCGCTCCCCAAAATAGCTTAGCTTTTTTTTCTTTTTTTAATTATTATGGATCTCACTCACCATAGTAGGATTTTTCAAATTTCTCAGTGTATAAGAAATATACAAGCCTTGAATTACAATTATATCTTTATTTATGATAAAACATTGTGAAAAATAAAAAGTACAATAAAATGTTGAATAAATTCAGAAAAGATTTCAATTTGTCAATGGCAAATCAATGAAGCAACAGAAATAAAACCCTAAAAAAACAAAAACAAAACTGAATTAATAAATGTCTAAAATTTTAATAATTTAACACACATTTCATTTCTAGATATTGTTTGCTTTTATCAAATCTGTGAGAATAATTTTATAGAATCTGTGAGGACAATTTCTTCAAAGTGAGATGCATTTTTCTTTAATCCAAATCAAATTGTAAAAAACGTTTTAAAATAATTTCAATAAAAAGTGAAATCAATTTCAAATATTTTTGAAATTCATTGTCAAATAATTATTTACACTTTTTTAATTTTGCATTTCCTCAATTGAATATATAAAGGACATTCAGAATCCAGAAAAAAGTTATGTATATATATATATATATATATATATATATATATATAACGTCATCCACAGACAGACTGTTTCGCTGTTTCACAGCTCATCAGTGTGGCTAGACATCCGGTTGCCTCTAGCTAGGATCGAAACCCGACTGAATTGGTGTCAGTCGGAGATTCTAACCATTATGCCGTCGGCGCACGGTAGGGATAAAACTGGATTTTTAGCGTATTTATTTTTAGAAACACGCCCAGTGACCGACAGCGAATTCATATTTAATGAAAACAGACAACTTTAAGGGGCCATTGGTTATAATTTATTTCCCCAGGGAATTTCTTTTTTCCTGGCTCATCAAACCACACTTCCAAGGGTGAAAAATGAATTTTTAAAAAAAAAAAAAAAAAAAAAAAAAGAAGATTTTTTTAAAGTTGTCCGTTTTCATTAAATTAATCGCTCTGATGTAACATTTAACATTATATGAGGAAATTGTATGTCAAAGTGTAAAAAGTTTACTTGTGAGATGTTTCATTCTTTAGCGGACTAAATTTGTTATGTTGGTAGAACTACACCATGTGCATGGCAGAGAGACATTGAATTTTAGATTTTTTTTTTTTTTTTTTTTTTTTAATCAGCCAAATTAATTTAGAGTCTTTCTTTTTCCATCACCTTTGTAAGTAGGAATTTCACACTGTGATATTAGAAATTTTAGGAATGGTGAAATATTCTAAGAGCCAGGTTTCAAATTTACTGTAGATGACTTTGCAATCAAGGCACTCTCTAGACATTTATGTCATAGTGAATTATTTTCTTCTTTGCTCAGAGTAGCATATTTTATGTCAAAGTTGTGGTCAGTCTCATTATGATGGGCAACAAACACATTTGATGTATTATTTTGTAAAATTTCCTTTTTGTGTTCATATAATCTTTTATTTAGATACTGTAAATGTTTAGAGAATGTTTTAGTTGTAAGGTCATCTAAAGTAAATTTGTCTCTTACAACATTTCACCTTTCTTGGCAGATCTTCTATCATACAGTATGGAATACCTACTTACAAAAGTGATGGAAAGAAAAAGACTCTAAATGAATTCAAGTAATAAAAAAAAAAAAAGAAAAAAAGATTTTAAAATTCCTAGCACCTCTCTGCTGCGTGCATGTGAAGTCCTACCAACATAACAAATTTAGACATACAATTCCTCTAATACTGTTCTTAATATATATAAATATATATTGTTATGTCATTCATATATATATATATATATATATATATATATATACACATACACACATAAAGGGTGTATTAAAACTTTGGGGCTGGTCACCTCACAGAAAAACAAGGACAAATAAAAACATATATCCACAAATTCTTCGTTTTTGAGTTACTAAGTTTAAAGTTTACGGTAGACGCTGTTAAATGTACAATTCAAGATACAATCCAAAAATACTTTTATAAACTTTGTGGGCAGGTTCCTGACACCAAAACAAGGTAAAATATCCATATAAACATATGCCCAAAAGATCATTGTACGGTGGACCCTTTCAAAAACTCCCACATGGTTTCAAATGGTTTCGTAGCCCACCCCATGACATGTTGATGAAGCATTTCTGCATTTTTCATGTCTGCTGCATAAACCAATTGTTTTAGCTGGCCCCACAGTTAAAAATCTAAAGGATTAAGGTCAGGGGAACATGCAAGTCATGGAACAGGTACTCCTCTATCCATCTTTCATGGTAGATGTCAGCCAGTGCATTGTGAACAATGTGACTAAAATGTTCTGGACACCTATCATGCATAAAACACATTACCAGACAGTCACCTACAATTCCAGCCCACACATTAATTGTAAACTGATGCTGGTATCTAGCCTATATTGTACCATGGGGATTCCAATCCACCCACAAATATTGGTTGTGTAAATTTGTTATTCATTCTCTTCCAAATGTTGCCTCATCCATAAACAACGGATCAGCAGTTCGTGAAATAAACCATTGGTAAAAGTTTTCTTGTGGTGAGTGATCAGAGGTGAAAGTCCCTGCACACATTGCAAATGATATGAATACAGGAGCTGCTCTTGAAGTACCCTCCATGTGGTACTATGAGATTATGACATGCTAGAGCCATTTGATATGTGCTCATACCTGGATTGTCTCCAACAGCCTGTAGAATGTGTTCTTTGTGGTCATGCATACAAGCAGTATTTGGTCTTCCTCAATCTTGTGGTGCCACGGATCCTGTCTCGGCAACACAACAGCAGCATTTGAACATGTTTATATGAACTTTTGTCCTTGTTTGTTTTACTATGAGGAACCTGCCCTCAAAGTTTATAAAAATATTTTTGATACACCCTGTGTGTGTGTGTGTGTGTGTGTATATATATATATACACACACACACACACACACACAAAACCAAATATTACATAAATCTGTGATATCAAATAAATATATCATTTATATTTTAGATGTTAGCCAACTTAGTGGTTCTAAATGGGAATAACTAATTTACATATTTACCTTAAAAAAATCAAATTTAAAAAATGTTATTCATTTGCAATCTGTTATTTTGTAATTTTTAAAGATAAACAACTGTTTTGGTTGTTTACTTATCCAAATGAAACCATTTGAAAGTGGTAACCACCTTAGCATTCAGATCACAGCTTGGAAGTAAATGAAAGTAAGCAATGCTGATATTTTTTAATGATATATTTTGAAAATCTAACAAATACTATAAATTATATTTCAACATGCTGTATGTGCTCCATTGAGGCTACCATCCATTAACATTACTGCCACTGTGCAGGCCATGTGTCCAGAATGCATCCCTGATTTCATCCTGTTTGGAGAGCTCGCCAGTGATAGAAGGTTATGCAGAGGCCCAAAACAACACTTCAAGAATCAGTTGAAGATGCTCTTGACACATGCCAAAATCAAGCCTGAGAGCTGGGAAACTGTTGCTGCAAATCAGCCTATTTGATGTAGAACCAGGGGGTGGAGGGCAGACTTTAGAGTCCAACCATTGACATGAAGAGAATCTACGATATGCATTATGAAAAGCCAGACTTGCTCAACTGCATCCACCACCCACATTCTAAAAACAGACCACTCACTATTGTCATCAGAGTTATTCATAAATATATTATCTTAAAAATTATTATTATCATGAATTTTTTTAAATTAATTTTATTATTATCATTATTATTGGGAGAGAGAGCAGCATATTAAAAAAGTAATACTGGGATACAAATATGCACAACCCATCATGATAACCGGTCTGATAAGGGTATACCATGCACATGCATCACAGCCAAAATATGCACAATATGGTGAGAGATTTTGATAAAAGCAGTACATAAGCTTACAGGAGGGGGCAGTTAGAAATACCTTTGGGTGAGATAACCCAGTCCATCAAACAAATGTTGATAAATCAAGTATTATTATTATTAAACATTAAAATTATTAAAAATGTATTTTTCTACCAAATTCTAGCTAAATTCTCTTCTTAGTATGCACTGATTTAACATGTTTTAATCAAGTGATAAACTTAGATAATTAAATGAAAATAAACTTTTCCCTCAAAAATACTTTCATATAACATATATTAAGAGGATAAAGAAGTAAATACTCACATTGGCCATGTTCCCGGATTTACAAATTTTTATATCAAAGATCTGATTCTCAGCATTTGTTGTTAGTTTCTTAGAATTACCTTAAAAAAAAATTAAAATGGATAAAGAAAAATATTTACAAAACATTTTGATCTTCACTTTTTAATTTTCAAAATAGTGGAGAAAGGAGAGATAAAACTTAGGAAGTCAATTTATTTTCTTAGATAAAACATTAACATCATTATGTAAATTAAAATACCTACTGTCTATTCTGAAGGCTCTTGCTTTGGGAGGCAATTTCCATATAGATTCGTTGGGAGATCTGATATATTTCAAATCAATTTCTGAAGTATTTCCATAATCCAAAAAGAAAACTTTAACTGCATCATTCCTAACTGTATTGAGAACCCAAGCTCTAAGAAAAGGAAAGAACATTTATTTAAACATACTTAGTTTATTTCAGGTCATTTTTTTTCTAAATAAAACTATATAAAATAATCAAATATAAATTTTTGTCCACACCTTCAAAATCAAAGCAACAATACAGCAAATATTTTGCAGCAACTATATGCAAACAAACCAGGATATATATATATATATATATATATATATATATATATATATATATTAATAATCAATACACAATCCTTAAAAATCCATTTATTTTGTGGACTTTTACATCCATTTCTTCAGACCAGCATTTTGTTAATAAATAGAGTCAATTTATCCTGACATAAGGAAAAGGGAAAAAGAAAAAAAGAGAAAAAACGAAAAAGTTCTAATATTAAAAAAGAAAGAAAAATAAAAATTTCAATATAAGGTTTTTAAAAAAATTGGAGGGGAGATAGAGAGAAAGATGGGGAGAGGAGAGAGTGAGGGAAAGAAAGGAAAGAAGGAAGAATTAAGCATGGACTGATAGGGTGACTTAGAAATTATTTTTTCTTTCAGGACTGGACAAGTTAAAAAACAGGGTTGGGGAGGGGAGTAATCAGCTTCAAAGTAGTTACATTGGATTGTCTGATCATTTTTCGTCAGTGAAACCTCATCACATTATAACTGTCACAATTACAAATTGATGATGATAATAAAAATAATATTTGACATCAATCAAATGAAATAAGTTAAAATAAATTAAAGTAAGTTAAATAAAAATTTTAAAATTTAAAAAAAATTTTAATAGACATACATTTTAATCATAATAACCCTGTAAAAAGAATTTTCAACAGAAAAACTCTAAAAATCAGTTATTCCTGTACTAACAGTATACACAGAATCAATAACTTGCACCTTTTCTTAAAAAAATTTATAACAGCAAAACACAAGAAAACAAGCTTCCTTGTAATTGTAAAACCAGAACTAACTGCCTATTTGGAGGCATTTGTACTTCTGAAAATGTAGTATACGAAGCTACTATTTTTCCCAAGGAAAATATCAGTCAGAATAAGGTAAACATAGAGATATCTGCTGGGAGTTGGAAGCAGAGATTTTACAATCACCAGCATTCCTTCACCAATGCTTCTTTAAGATATCAAACTGCTCTATCTAAACATTGTTGGAATCTTAAAGATGGATGCTTCACCCAACAAATTAAATGGAGGATCATCAGACTCCCAATAACTTCTGCAAAAGATTCAATCTAAGCATAAAGGAAAACATCATAATGAGTAAGTACAAAAATGCTGATGAATTACTGAACAAATGGAATGAACTTATCTTCAAGTGCAGACACAAGAACAGATTCAAAATTCCCTGACATTAATTTTGGAGAATTTACACTTGAAGTGTTGGTTATGTTTTTTATGGGTATACATACATACATACATACATACATACATACATACATACATTCACATTTTTATATATGATCATTTGTGTGATTTTCTTTCCTACATTAGGTATAATCTTAAATTATTAATTTTATCTTCATTATCTATATTATTATTGGTATATATGTATGTATATATACCTATGTAGGAATATGTGTATATGTATGTGTGTGTATATATGTATATATATTAGAGTTGGTTGATTTGGCAATTTATGTTTCAGTATTGGTTTCTGTTTTTTTTTTTCCTTGATACTGCAGTTTTCAATTCAGTTTTTAATTTGGTATTTTTGATTTCTAAGGAAGCCATTCATTTTCTTGTGTAATGATAGCATTTCCAGTCGATATCTGATTTTGTTTGAGATTGATAAATTTGCAACTTAGTCCGTTCAACTCGCAATTTCTTGTGTATTTCTGGTCCAATCTTAAAAATATTCATATGGCTAGAAAGAAAATAAAATAATCTTTCTAAATATGTAATTTGTATGTGTTTTTATTAATTGAATTATATTTTTACTGCAAGTTAAAATGGTACTTTCTTTGAACAGCCGAAAATGCAAAATATGATTTCTTTTAGACTAAATTTTACACATTACTTTCTTTCACAAAATCAAAGTGACCAATCTTATCAATATTCTTGAAATTGTACATTCAATTAGAAGACACCTTAAACTACAACCAGAAAGATGTTCATTTTTTTCTGTGACCCATAGAAGTGAATTCCTTCAAAAATTATAAAGCAAGCAAAAAAAAAAAAAAAAAAAAAAGCAACCAATAGTAATAAATGTGTGGTAAAAGATCTTTCAAGTTATTGAAATACTGTCTGACACTAACAGACACTTGTTTTAAAAAAAATTTAAATTTTTATTTAACTTACTTTATTTTAACTTATTTTATTTAATTGATGTCAAATATTATTATTATCATCATCATCATCAATTTGTAATTGTGACAGTTATAATGTGATGATGATGGTTTCACTGCCAAAAATGACTATACAATCCAATGTATCTACTTTGAATCTGATCACTCCCTCCTCCACACATTTTTTTAACTTGTCCAATCCCAAAAGTAAAAAATCATTTCTAGGTCACACTATTGTCCCATGCTTAATTCTTCCTTCTTTCCATCCCTCTCGCCTTCTTTCTTGCCTCCCCATCTCTCTCTCTTTTCCTCCCTTCAAAATTTTTTTAAACCCTATATTGAAATTTTTCTTTTTCTTTCTTCCATTTTTAATATTAAAACTTTTTCCTTTTTTTTCTTTTTCTTACATCTGGATAAATTGCCTCTATTTATTAACAAAACACTGGTCTGAAGAAATGGATGTAAAAGTCCACAAAATAAATTATAACCAAATGGATTTTTAAGGATTCTCTATTCATTATTATATATATATATATATATATATATATATAATATTTAAAAGGTTTTTATATAATTGGAAAATTTCATTATAAAATCAAAGATTTAATGCACTTTTACATATTTAAAGCACAAAGGAAAATCATTAAAGAATTTCAATGAATTACAACATAAATATTGACCAGAGAATTATAATCCATTCAAGGAGAATGAACTTAAAAAGATTTCCCACATTTTTTCTCTGATTCCTAATGTCCATCTCAAAAATGCATATGAAATTTTATGACTATTCAGCAAGGAATAATGGCAGTAGTAGTTTAATTTCATTATTATTATTATTGAATATGTGATAAAACCTTTCAGAAAGAGAAAGTATCTCTAGCTTAAAGTGAGCTAGTAAATTAGTTTTGAAAAAGGCGTGAAACCTTCAATTTTTCTGCAATTCCTCAAAATCCAAAGGGTGATCCTAGAGTGTATATAAATCTGAACGTCAGGCTAAAGTTAAATTGTTCTTTTATGGATAACTTGTACATTTCACACTCCACTGAAGATACTTTGCAGGTCTGCTATATCGCTAATTATCTTGGAAGATGACATACCACTCTTTGTACGTCTATCAGCAATTTGATATTCTTTGAGTATCCATAGTATAGCTTGTATTTCATCTTTGTTCAATATTTCTTGAAGTAAACCCTGAAATGGTATATATGTAATGGTTCTTTTCAATTCTTAATCTTTTAGTTATTTCAGTGTTGGGGTGTGTTAATTGTCAATGCCATTTTGCTTTTTCTAAATAAACCATGGCCAATTTTTATTGCAGCTCTTAACTACTGTAGAAATTCTCTTGGATTGCCAGTGCAAAGGAAAGTAAGATTTGAGAATCATTATGGTTAGTAGATGCAACATCATTGTATACTACCAACAGTAGTCTGTGGAAACCACAGAATGAGAATGACTGACTTTTCTTACTTTGTCTTCTTGATAATTCTATTTAATTGTCTGATAGACTCTACTTTGTTCTCTTTGAGATAAGTGTTCAAATTACTTATAACAAAACTGAAATCCAGTTTTGTTTGTATTGCAAACCAATTTAGTTTTCCAATTAGCTGTTTAATATATGTAACTTCTTTGTCAATCAGAAGCTCTTCACTGTGTCTATTCTTTTGAATTTCAATCAGAAGCTCTTCACTGTGTCTATTCTTTTGAATTTCAATCAGAAGCTCTTCACTGTGTCTATTCTTTTGAATTTCAATCAGAAGCTCTTCACTGTGTCTATTCTTTTGAATTTCAATCAGAAGCTCTTCACTGTGTCTATTCTTTTGAATTTCAATCAGAAGCTCTTCACTGTGTCTATTCTTTTGAATTTCAATCAGAAGCTCTTCACTGTGTCTATTCTTTTGAATTTCAATCAGAAGCTCTTCACTGTGTCTATTCTTTTGAATTTCAATCAGAAGCTCTTCACTGTGTCTATTCTTTTGAATTTCAATCAGAAGCTCTTCACTGTGTCTATTCTTTTGAATTTCAATCAGAAGCTCTTCACTGTGTCTATTCTTTTGAATTTCAATCTCTGCTTGAGGCTTTTAACATGTTTATCTTGACTTAAAATGACTTTATCATCGATAAAGTAATTGTAATCTTCTTACATTAGCTTGGATGTGAAGCCAATGTAACAAAACTTCAATGAGTCTTCAGACATAACAAATTTAAACTGGAGTTTATTCTGAAACATCCTTGGTCCTCCCTAGCAAAAACAATCCATATAGGCTGAAATCTAATTTTAATTTTCTATCATAGCACCATTTAAAAACTGATGGAATGTATATATTTATGTCATTACAAAAGATACTGGAAGAATGGTTGGTTCATTGTATCACTCCAGACAAATATTTAACTCCTGCTACCATGTTCTATCTTTACAACAATAGAATATTTAGCCATATCTGGGCCTAGTTCTCATTATCCAGCATCGACAGAGTTCACAAGTGATTATGCAGTGGCTGATGAATTATTCTTCACCCTACAACCCTTATCCCACAAATTAAAATGTTGCCAGCCTTTCACTACTATATCACTACTACTATAGTAGATGTTCAAAGGAGTTACATTCCTGATATCTATTAGCTCAGACCTTCACAGTTAAACCTGTCATGACAGGTTCACAATGATAAACCATCCCCATTCACTGTATTTTTTTGATAAAAAACAAGTTCCACTCAAAGTTTCTACCCCAAAGCTGTTATTGCCTACCTGACGATATTCAGTCACCCCCCCCACACACACACACAAGGGCGTCATGTGGCACAAGGCCTTTTTAATGTGGGATCTCCGAGCCCGTGGGCTCAGCCAAAAATATGTCCATTGAATCCGTATAAACGGGTTCAGGGTCGGTTTACCTCCCCGAAAGAGAATCCGCCCTTCGGCGTAGCCTCCTTCGGGTTCCTCCCCGCCTGAAGGCAGAGAGTTCAACCGATCAGCCAGTGTTTGTTGAACTGACTACTACAATACTGATAGGTTCAGAGTCAACTGATATCTATCCTACACATCCTCATAATACACTTACTTTCCATTTTCACCTCCCTTACAATTTCACTCAGTAACCCTCTACCATGAGTGGCCTTTACACCTTGTACTGGGTGAACTATCAATATTTCTATTTTGTTTATATTGTAAAAAATCTCTCTAACCTGTTTGTATAGTTCACAAAATATTTCAAAATTATTGCATTGTATGTAAGCCTTTGACCCCAGACATAATAAACTTGAACAAAAATACCAGAACATATATCAATATCTGAATTAAGAGATAAGAAAAATGCAGAAAATTCATTTTTTAAATTTGCTGAAAAATTTAAACATATCTTTATGACTAACACTATTAATTTCCTTTGTAAATTTTAAACTTATGTGATTTTTTGAAATTTTAAATATAATCAAATTTAAAATTGCATAACTCCTCATAAAATTAACATACTTTATTTCTTTTTTAAAAGGAGTTTCTCAATTTCTATTCTTTAACAAAAGGTAAATTTTAATAGAATCAGTATAAGTTTTTATTAAGTGGAATATATTTTCTAAGATGTAAATGAGTTACTTCCCAAATTCTTTGCTCACAAATACACAAAATGATATAAAAAAAAGCTGTTCATTAATTTCCATAAAGCTCAAGTTTCTAAAATTAATTTCTTTTAAGAAACCCATTTCTCAATTTGATATTTTACTCAATATTACTGCAAATCTTAATTTTTAATCTTCAAAATTTACTTCTATCTTAACAATTTCATGTAAAAATTTCTAAAATAGCAAATCAAACAATGGGGTGTAACTTTTACTTTTATATTCTAAATTACATGCATAAAAAATAATTTAATGTAAACAATTTTAAGGAGAGTATAACGTCAATGTAATAATAATTATTAAAAGAAGAACAAAAATTTATTATTTAAAATATTTATTACATAAAGCATTACAAAATAAGTAATAAACAAACTTAATGATAATCCTGAAGAGTATTTTGAGCTATTCTAAGCCTAACAACTAATCATAAAAGTCAAAATATCGAGATTGAAACTTACCTATACCATTCATCTTGATACAAAGCAACACATTTCATTTCTTTCTTTGATAAAATGTAATCTGGCCAACTCAAAGCAGTAGACTGTATTTCATTGTGCACAACCATAAAATCAGTCACATCATTGCTCTAATAAAAAGTAATTTTAAATAATAAAGTTGAAATAATTTACTCAAGAAATAAGAGAATAATGTCAATGCATAAAGAATAAGTTATAAATATTTTTACAAATTTAAATAAAGTTCATAAAATAGGTGTGTGTGTGTGTGTGTGTGTGTGTGTGTTTGTTTGCTCTTTTATAAAGATATCAAGAGTGTCATTGAAGAAAAATTTAATCATTTCAGAACTTGTTCAGGCAGTTAAATTTCTTCATGTTACTGATGGCCTTCTTCAGATAAATACTCTTTAAGTAAGAAATCAATTCTTTACAAGATGGTACCTAATAGAAAATGGTAGCTAATATACAAAAGTTTGATTTAAAAAAAAAAATGCATTTATAATATAACCAATGAAAATGTGGAAAAATTTTAAGGGATAAACCAGCCAAAAGATACACATATCTAGTATGGCTGATCATATTTGGACTGAATTTCAAATAATTAGTAAGGAACACTGCTGGAAAATGAGAAAATTGAAAGTGTACATCAACTTAGTGGCTAGTTGTCTAAGTCAGGCCTGTATAGATTTCAGTATAGTGTGGTATCCTTTACTCAGTATGAACACAGGTTGAGACCGCACTCCTCTGTATAAATTAGGATCACCTGCATTGCATTGGTGGTGGTAGTGGTGTATGTTCATACATTGGTGGTGGTGGTGGTGATGGTGTATGTTATTTTGGTGTATGGAACAAAACAAACCAATTTGCATATTAGCAACCATTTTCTGTTCACAATGTTTGTCTTGAAAAAAGATTCTTTACTGAAGAAGGCTGAAAATGGACAAGGAAAATATCTTTAACATCAGCAACACAAATAATAAATCAAATCTTGGAATTTTAATGGCTTCTCAAAGTTGTAATTATTTCTGGAAAGGGAAATTTAATGGTGTAATTTCATAAAAACATATCTGTAAGAAAACCAGTTATAATGAAAATTGAATAGGCTTCATTAATCAACACTTTCATTGTAACTGTAATCTTTCATATTTTGATTGAGAAATCAAGCCTTACTAAAGAATAAAAAATGTTGCCCCAAAATAATTCATTGTTGATTACTGATGTAATCATCACTTGCAATGTATCTGAGGATGAACTCAAACAGGGTTGGATTTGGAAATGTTTTACAAGAACAGCCATCTTTGCAGCTTCTGCTTGAAAGGGATCATCTGATATAAGAAAAAAAAACAATAGTTCAACAATTGGTGTTAATTCCTAACTCTTCTTTCAAAATATTCAACACAAGTACCTTAAGTTTTTAAAAATCTACAAAGTACTGAGAAAGAATGTAGATTTTGTATAAAAACTATTTTTTTAAATTTTTGCTCAAAATGTACAACCTGCTTGTACTTAGCCCCAAAGTGTGTTAAGTAAAGCCTAAAGATAGTTTTAAAAACTGTTACCCTTAATTTTATTGAACAACATATTTACCACTATATTCCATTATCTGAAAGCATTTTTAGGCAATTTCACTATGTCATTCTCCTAGAAATTTTGATCTTTTTCAGCAAAGAACTACTCTAGTTGCTATTTGCAGTCTTCCAAAGAAGTAAAATTTTGAAGGATTTTGTTAGTCCCACTAAAAACTAACATCCATAATTTTCAAGTAAAAAAATAAATTGCATTTTCCTTTTCTCACTAATTAGAAACTCAATTTGTGGTATTAGTTTTGGATCAAATTTGGAAAATGAAAACATCCCAATCTTTCTCCCAAATGTTTAGTCTTGTATAACCTTTTAGTGGGATTCCAGATCATTTGTAAGATTTTTGTCAGCTTATCCACTGATACAAGAATAATGCTGTCCAAAGTTTGAAATAGGAAAAAATTAGTAATATAGAACAACATTTGGGAGATTTTTATTAATCTCCACCAAACCAAAATTTCCTAACTATTATTATTAATAATAATTCATTTTGGTAGGATGATGATTTTCATGATGATGACTATTGAAAAAGCTCCAGCATTTGGGATCTTTTTCAATGAGAAATAAAAAAATTCACCTTGAGAGTTTTTTCTTTTTAGGCTTCCATACTTTAAAATTATATCTATTAGCCTTTGGTCAGGATTTTTTCATTAAGAGTTCTGCAAATATCAGAATAAATAGCAATCCAAAGATGCTAAATAGAACAAATAAACTAAAGTTTCTAAGCTAAACTTTAACAGTTTTTGTTTGGTCACCAAAGAAACATGCAGTTTTGTAGATTATATAGAAGCTAACATCACATGTGTGTATTCTCTGCCAAAGACTGAGAAGAAAAGTTAAACTTAGTTGCTATTTCTCTTTCAATCATGAGCATTTTGGATGTATATAAGATCTTGCAAGCAATGATTGGGAGTTGGGAAATGTTTTATTTCATGTGCGACATGATGGCTGATTCTTCTGAGACCTGTGATTTTTGGAAATTCATCTATCTTTTGCTACAAGTTTACCATCATTCTGATAGAATATTATGTTTTTTTCTTAATTAATTCCAAATGCTTTTTTGCAGATTGCTACCCTCAATTTGTCTAATTTGGAGCAGTACTTGTTTAAATCAATGGATTTTTAGAAGGAGCTCATAGTGACGAGTTCTTTCCAATTCCTCCATATAAACAGCATCACCTTTTGGAGGAAGATTGGCTTTTGGCATGGTTAATGTTTCATTTTTCTAGTCTCATTACATTTTGTTATAAAGTATCAATTTTTCCTAGCCTGTCACATATTTATTTAAAGAACACCATATTTTCATTACATTTGAGCAGAAAATTGTATCCAGAAATATGATCCAGTTTGTTTAATGTGGAAGGTATACAGGACAAGTAAATGATTTTTAATGCATGATTTGGATATTCTAAGTATAGTGCAATCAATCTGAACTGGTCTTCTTGATTATAATCTACAGAGCATCATTCAAGAAGAATCTCTAGAATGAAATGTTTGTTCATTCACAATACATTCAAAATTGTACAAATCTTTTTATCACATTTGAGGCATATTTTTACCTTACTTAAAATGAAAAAATATGCTAATATATATATTTTCCTCTTGTTCTTTAATTTTTGAATCAATAAAAATAAATAGACAAACTTTTGACAAAAAAAGATGCATTCTGATTTTGTGACATGTGTTACAAAACTAAAATTAACTTTTAGAATGAAGTTAAAAAAACCATGAGAAAAAGATTTTGGGTTATCAATATCAATAAGTAGAAATATGATTTTTAAACAAGTAAAAAGTTTTGAAAAGGAATTCATTTTACACTATATTAAAATAACATTAACCAAGTAAAAAGACAAAAAAGCAAATTTGTAATTACTCACCAACAAATTAAAAAACAAATGATCATAGACCTTTTCTTTGATTCATTTGCAAAATTTGATTGGAGAAGTCTTTTTATTACAAAACGTTGTTTTAATTTGGATTATTATGCTAAAAATACTTATATATACTTAAATATGCTAAAAATACTTAAAACATACTTCTATAAATTGAACATTCAATACATTAACAAAATGCCAATGCTGCATGTAGGGATCTCTTATACTTAGATCAACAATGATTATAGGAAGACCTTTTTTATTGGATAAACTATACTCTTGGGAAACCTGGAGAATACCTTGACAAAAGTGCAATTTTAATAAAGCTACTAAGGATGAGAATATTAGTCCAAAAGATTTTGTAAAGAAGACATTAATTAAAATTTAATTTAATGATCAAGAAAGATAAAATTTATAATAGTAACTTGCTACATAATTTTCTCTGAAAAACACTTGTAAAAAATATTGAAAATATTTTTGAGCAAGATATACATCAAGATACCATCAAAGCTACTTACCAAATTGAGAAACTTTTATTAACTGGTTTTCCTCTTTCATCTGCTGTTTATGCTGGTCCAAATTCTTATTTGTTAAACTGTGAGTTGGAGATTTGATGAAAGTTTCTTGATTTGTAATTCCATGAGTTAATGAATTTGTTAGCTGGCAATTTATTTCTTGTTGTTGATTATCTTTTGCAGAAGGGGAACATTTAAGAAATTCCTGTTTCTTCTTTTGTGAACCTGATGCATTATGGGTAGACACTGGTAAAGAATAATTGGAAGAAAGGGTTAAAACATAATTCTGTTTAAAGAAAAGTGTTTAAATTATTATAAAAGCTTAATTTTATAATCTTCATATATACTCTGTATAGTTAAATAAATGGAACCTATTTTCAGGATTTGTTTTATTCCAACTTGAAATTAAAAACATTTAGCAATTTTTTAGAAATAAAATTAAAGCAATAAGTAGCCCAACCAATTTTGATGTAAACTAAAGTGCCAAAACATTAGACAGTAGTCCATTAGATAGTTTTATCCTAACCCACTTGTGGATCAGCCAAATGTGTGTGACATAATAGATAAAGGAATGACATGTGTGTGACATAATAGGTAAAGGAATGGGACCAGAAAGATTGTTGTGTATTCTATTAGAGAGGGGTAGCAATCATTCAAGGATTTTTGCAGAAAACTGCAGGAAGGGTATGCTAGGAATATGTGAATTCCAGATAGACATCACTAGGAAAGGAAACTGCAGGCGACCATAGGTGATGTAAGAATAGGACCACCAGGGACTGCAAGGATAGAAATCACTCACTGAAGCGAAACATTGCATCAAATCTCATTCTAATGTTGGTGCTGATCAACCCATTGTACAGCATACACTGTATTCCATCGTGTTTTTGTAGTTGTTGACCAACAAAGGACATCCTTGTTGATACCATAACATTAGTAAGTGGGTTAAATTTACCCGGGTCAGGGAATATCCACCCTCTGGAAGGCTGGCAAGTCATGTTTCCACCTCATAGATAGTTCTGTTTGGATGTGAAACTATGTATCCAAACTGTAGGCTGGTTGTTGTGCAACCTGGTGATGTTTTTGTAATGGCTATTCTATTGCAATTTTCAAGAATCAACTAGGAGTCTTTCTTGACAGGTTTGAGACCCAGAAAGCTTGTTATAGACTATTAACACTCCTTTATTCTCATCATGTTTCCTGGTGGTAATGATAGTTTGTTCTAGCAAGACAACACAATTTTATCATCATACCTAGGAACACTAACTTATTTGAAGGAACTTAATTATTGTCTGTGTTTGCCAGATTTAAACCCCATTGAGTGGGTATGGAACACATTGCAGACCTCAGTAAATCCCTGGCAGCTACACCCAATGCACACAGTTCAGTTATTAACAGCTCTGAATATATATGCTCATCAATAAATCTAGAACCTCATAGATTCCAAGCCATGTCACACAGACATTTTTATTCAGGTAAAGAAAAAGAACTATATGTTATTAGGCAGCGGTTTCTATGTTTTAGGTACTCCAGTTTAATTCTGGAAAGGATTTGATTTTGAGTCTCTTATACCTGAAAAGCAAAAAATACTTAAAAGTTTTTTATCCTAAAAGCAAGAACACAAATATTATGTGAACAAATCTAATTTAAGACTACTGCCTGAAAGATTTGTAACAATTCAGCTGAATTACACATAGCAAACAGCTACAAAACTAAAGCCAGTTTGAAGAGCATTTTGTGTCGAAGTAAATAAATGTTCTCTCCACATTTATGCCATTCTTTTTACCCTCAAAGAATTATACTTTTAAAAATTGACTTAGAGTTAAAATTATAAACTACATTAAAAATTGGAATTTGACCAACAACAACAAACATACCTGTATATTTTCTTTTGTATTTCCTATTATCAAGACATGGACAGAACCCAACAGATGTTACCAACAGAGTGTTTTTTTCATATGATTCTTTATCAAATTTATAAATAGCTTTTTCTGATTCTGACTGGCTGGGGAAATTCATCAATGCTTGTGTGCTGAAAGGAAAACAATATAAAAATAATATTAATTAATGCAAAAAGTAACTTGTTAACAAAGAAAAGAAATAGTCATTTATATAACATGAGCTTTGTTTTGCATTAAGTGCAAAGAACATCAGCTTATCCATTAAAAATTTTGTTCATGTGTAACTTTGCCTTGGCCTTTGCAAAAAGTTGTACCCACCTTCAGTTTTATTGATTTTTCTGCCAAACCTGGGAGGGGGTGGATTTGCTGAAGATCAGAAAGTTGGTCTTGACCTATGTTGGTAAATTTGCAATGTGTGTACAATTTAATCAAAATCAGTCGAGAAATGTGGACGTGTATAAATAGCATACACATACACAGACAGACCCACACAATACAGACATCTTCTGTTTTATAGATATAGATTTACTTTTAGACTCACCTTCTTTTTTGATTGTTGTTATTGATGATAATTACATTTGAAGGATGGAAATCTTGGAATAAGGAAAGGAGCTGCTCCTGAAATTGGTGATAATTAAAAAAATAAATTTAAATAACTGTATAGTCTAAAAAACATTAATCTTCAAAATTCTAAAATATATGAAAATTGAAGAATATAATCTTAAAATAAAGAAAAAGATACTGCTCACCTTAGATGTTCCAACTGGAAAATTAGCGATAAATAATGTAACATGATTTTGAAAATCTGTTGAGTAGTCGTTGTCATTAGAAAGACAATTATCTTGGCTACTGATCCAATCATTCACCAATCTTCTGCTAGCCGATTCATTATGTTGACAAAATGTATTAGCGGCTGAAAAAAGAAAGTGATAAAATTACTTCAAATTCTCAAATTTAATATAGACATTTAACTTTCACAGACAAACTGCTTAGATTTAGATAAAAAAAAAAAACAAATATTAAAATTTAAAAAGGGTTAAGGAATTTTAAAATATAACTATGAAAGTTTGAAGGGAAAATTAAAGCAATCACAATTCAAAATTTTTTTTATAGTATTTGATAGAATTATTAATTTTTATTTTATAATCAAATAAAATATATTTATTTTGCATAGTTTTATTAAGATACAATTACAAACATCTAAATCATTCCATATCTAAAATGTTATTATCTGAAATACTTACTTTCATGTAGAAAAGGTGCAAGACTTTAACAAATCTTTGTTAATTTTTTTTTTAATCTATTCATAGGAAGATTAAATAAAAATAATATCTGTCAAAATGAATGTCTATAAATAAAATATTGTATATTTTGATATTTTTTGTTTTCTTTAATCAATATATGTTACTTTAACAATTTATAAACAACTATTTTTTACATGAAAATTTTGAAAAAAAAATTACATCATATATTATTGAAAAACTTGAACCTTTCATGAGATGAAAATAAAAATCAGAAGAACTCTAAATTTTTAAGATAACCCAAAATAAATAAAAAGAAAATAATTTCTAAGATATATTTTCTTACAGTAAGATAGACATTTTTTTATGGAAGATTAAAATACCAAAGATTAAAATATCAAATTAGAATCCATATATATAAAACACATATTTATGCATAAATATAGTTTTTGTGTGTAACATCACCATAAGAGTCCACAACATAAAAATAAGTAACCTGCCCATCTTTATATAGTGGACTCTTCTGGCAATATAATAAAATAAAAAAGGACAACAGAATCTTATACTATGTTAAACATGGTAAATAAAATTCCACATTTATTCAATATTGAACAGAATATTATTTATTTTAATATTCCAGAAATATTGAAGATAAACAATACAAGCAGAATATAAATATTTTGATATAAATCCAATGCAATTGCAAAATTATTTAAATATTTTTGTCATTTTTTGGCAACATAGGTAAACTAATATCAAGATTGTTTTTCTGATTTTCTAAAAATCTATGACTTAATTTAAATTGTAAGAGTTTTTTCATGAATGCACAAAATAATTTTGCTTCAAATAAATATTTTACCAGAAATAAAATCAAAATAAAGAAAAAATGTAAATTACTTACTCTGCTTATCATCAAGTCTTACAACCAATTTATGCCCCATAAAAACTTTATTATTGTACATTTCTACAGTTTTCTCAGCTTCAAGTCTGTTTGGTAAATTTGCTAAGGCAAAACTGAAATATAGTGATAAGAGAGTCAATTTAATAATTTAAAAAGAAATCCTCATCTCAAATTTAAAATTTTTTAGTACATTATTTTTCTTCTTCATATACAATTCTAAAACAATAATGAAATTTATAAATGACAACCATAACAAATTTATATAACAATTCAGTAGAAATTTTAAAGTTTCATATAAATTCTAATTGAGAAAGAATAAATAAATTTTCCAGGAAAGGAATACCATGTTTGAATTTCATGATAAACTTTTATATTTAAGATTTAAAATAACAATAACACCTATTGATATACATAAAATTTTGTAATTTAATGAATCTCAAGGTGAGCAGAATATTTTCAATAGGATTCCTCAGTAGATATCTAGAGCAATAATTATTGTCATGAAATTTTAAAAAATAATAATTTTTTCTAAACCAATTAAAACTTTCATTATCCAGGCTTCAGGGTGTGACAATGCATTCCACACATCCATCACTGCACAACTGTGGTGACATCCAAGGTCAGTTGTATACATATATACACCCATCAAGCTATGTTCACATGTTTGTCTCCTTGACCATGATCAAATTAAACAAAGAATAACTGCAAATGCTTTTCAAGACACTGACTGGGAAATAGCAAACCATATGATTTCTCACCTAACTGGCAAATCTCCCTTTGGCCTCATTGAGGTGAACTGCTATCTTACTAACTTCCGACCAGGGAAAGAGGACCATTATATTCACTGACTGACTGCTGACTCCTTACTGTTCACTGGTCCCTTACTCACTGACTACTCATTATATGAATGCTGGCTGGAGTCCCACTACCTCTATGTATCCCAGAAAAAGAGACCACCCAAAAGCTGGATGGGTGGTCAGTTTTTCAACAGACTCTACTTTTTATGATCATCTAAAATCACTAACCAAATTTTGTTTGCCAATTCAAAAGAGGGCTGGAAACAGGAATCCTGAAAATGCGGTCATAAGTTGACTTAAAAGATGGACTGTGGACAAAATTCCTAAGAAACTCTGGTAATTAAATTGACTTAAAAGGAAAAAGAAATCATATTGTTACAAGGGTAAAGATAAGAATAGCTTACAATTTAAAGAAAATATTGAGTAATTATATTTCTTAAACTTATTTTAGTCAGCAAAAGTTGACTGAAAAAATAATCAAAAGTCAGTACTTACACTTTGTTTTTATGGCTTACTAACCGGAAAGAGATAAAGTTAATATCACCAAAGAGCTTCAGTATTTGTGCCTAGAAATTAAATAAATTATTTCATTTAATAAATGTCATCATATTAATATTTCTAAAAAAAAAAACAACAAAAAAAAAACCTTTAATGCTCCCTACACAGAAATACAAATAAAAACCTATTATTTACCTAATTTAATGATTAATTAGAAAATTTTGAATATTTTGTAAAATCTATTCTTTCATTTTCCCATGTAATTTTAAAAGCCACAAGCCATTTTGTCTTATATTTAAAAGGCATAATTATCTATACTAATAATAGAGGCATGTGTGTGTAAATCTGTGTACCAGGGTCATACTTAAAGATCCAAGTGACCTAATTTTTAAAATTCAAAGAGCACTGCATGCTATTTCCAGTTAAATAAAGCAATTTTTCACCAGTATGAAGTGAGATGAAGTAAAAATGACTTCTGAGGTCACTGAAAGCCATAGAATTAGTTTGTAGCTATTAAGATCTGTATTATAATCAAGCATGTTCTTGGAAGTAAATTGGTATGGAGGGGGTGAGTAACCCATAGAAAAAGATGATACGATAGGTGATGTTGATTTTCAAGCTTAATTGGAAGTTAACAAAGTGAATTTTGGATTAAAATAACTCTTTTCAGTTAAATGAAAGAATTTAAGGAAAAAGAATTGATTTTTTGTTTATAAAATATTGAGAAACACCTTTTTTTTTTTTTTAGGATTCAATATTATTTTTTCAGCTGTTTTAAATCTAAAAAGTAGCTGGAAACTATAGAAAGTGCCAGTAGGTGTGAAGGAGGCATTCTTGTTACAAAGAATGAAGTTGAAGACCAGATTTCTGAGAAAGTACATCTATACAAGTCAATTGATAATTACAAGCATTTCTACAGTTGTTCATAGACTCTTACTAAGTTTAACTCTCATTAGTTAGCTGGTGTTTCTCTCTACAGGACACACATCCATCTTCACCAGAATTTCAACCCTCTAAAGTTGAGCATCTGTACTTATCAGGCTCTTAAAGCAGCTTCCCCCACATGTCATCAAGGTAACTATCCTAACTGGGATATAATTCAAAAGAATCCATATAATTTCAACAGACTTTTAATCCCCCTAACTTCAATTCTGAGATTTAGCTTTGATGTAAGCATCTATCAGGCACAAGATTAATCTTTCAAAATTGATGGCTACAACCCTACTTCATGATTTTTCTCTGGACATTTCTATGTCACTTATTCTAAGTTTGGGTTAAATAAACCTAAACAACTACAACATTTACTTTGTATTCTGCATCAGAATATCTTTTCACTAACTGCTACATCTTTATGTGTTAATTGTATTAATATTTTATTCATTTTTTTGTGTTGTACTGTATAAGAAGAAATATATTAAAATCCATATTTTTCCTGTATTATATTTGAAATTATTTTTACCTTGGGCAACATGAGTAATCCCTCTTAGCAGAAATTATTTTCATATATTTTTTCTTTTTACACTAGCATACAAAATAAAAAAAAATTCACTTATTTTTCAACATGAAACACTAATCAACCTTTTTTCTTTATACAATTATTTACAATTTTCTTTAACAATGCCACCCACCTTCATATATGATTCCTTTAAAAAAAAAATAACAACAGTATTATTTTTTATAATCAAATCCTGATATTAAATCAAGAAATTAAACATACTCAATGAAGCCTCTGAGTATTTTGTAATTATCCAACATGAATAAATAAACTCTAAGGATTTGACATAATATAAAAAATATTTTCAAACAATATGTGCACACTATTTACATTATTCGGACTATTGTCCTCATCTTTGTCACCATATTTATTACAACGTTTCAGCTGTTGCACACTCTGGCCTTCTTCAGGTGGTTGGAATGTCGAACTGAACCCTTTATTTCACTCACTGGGGTAATAATAACAATAAACACCTGCTTCTTTCCTTTACTTAATTACTTAATTATGCACATTTCAACAATTTACTCAGTGTATGTGAAAAAAGGTCTATAAAATTTCACTTTTAAAATTTATAACCATTTCTATATGCAACACAACCTTTCTGAAAACTGATTTAAAATTAAAATTTATTTTTCAATGTAAACAATTACAATTTGCATAACTTCAAATATAGCTTATAGTGATTTTAATTAGATTTTAAACTTTCTCAACTGTTTCATAAGGTTAATGTTATTTTTATCTTTATCTGTAATCTACTTTCATTTTTTTCTATACTTATTTTTATATTTTTTTCAGCATAAAATAGTTTTTTTCCCAAAATAGTGCTCTCTTGTTAAAATAAATTGACATAAGTATTTTAAATTTATAAAAATGCTCAAGTTATTTGATTGAAAACAACATCTAAGACTAGAATTCTCAATTCTTTTGGCACTGCAATACATATAATGTTTATATCATTCTAAACAAGTGGATTTCCAACCTTTAATTAAATGTCCATGTTTTGTTAAATCTTTATGTCATATCTAAAGGATGCTTATTCAAAATAATTTAAAACAAAAATGGTAGTCGAAAAGACCTTGTTAAAAGAAAAATTGTAAATGAATAATTAAATTTATTTCAGCTGAGAATATATTTTGAAGAACCTAAATTTAGGGCAAGTATAAATTTAGATTTTGTTTAGAGAGTCCACAAAGTTATCACAATTATGTCCTCCGAATCAAGAAAATAGGTTTCCATTAAGAATTGTTTCCTTGAATACAGTCTTGTTACATTGAAAATGGAATATTGAAAGAGAAAATTATAAAATGTAAGATATTTTTTGAAAAGTTGAAGAATGATTACTAGATAAATTTGGAAAAGAAAATTCTAGTGTATAACATAGCTTTCATTATGTGGACAAAAGATTAATACATTAAATAAGATAAATTTAAACAGGTATTGAGAAAACAATTTTTCACAGGTTTTGTTTCTGTGCACTATACATTTTGTGAATAATAAAACAATTTTTTTAAAAAAAGATTTGGAAAATTAAAAAAAAAAAAAAAAGAGATGAATAAATTATTTATTTCGTTATGCTTCAACTCTTACAGATAAAAACTGTTTTTGTCTTCTCAATAAAAACAAAAAATATTTCATATACACAAGGAAATATTATTCAAATCAAAAAGTTAAACATTTTTTACATAAACCCATTAACTATAGCAGGAATTCTGCCATTTGCAGTTGAAATAGAGAACTGCAATCATAGGAATTCCCATTAACCAAAAACAATGAAAATTCTATACTACACTTTGTAGGTAAATGTTCATTTTTATTTCCCATTTTAATTACCCAATCTTATTTGTCCATGTAATTATAAAGAACCAATTATAGACTTTTGTTCTTAATCAAAATATTTTCAGTTATGTAAGTTTCATCTGATATATCATTATACAGAAAATATTCTATAACTGACAAATTAGAAAAATGCAAACTTACTCGTGATGCTTTCACAGCTATATTGCCAATGTAGATTTTTGCATAACCTGAAACTGCATATAAGATTCTATTTAATATACTACAAATTCGAAAGCATATAAATAGCAAATATTCTTTGAAAATTATTATAAAAAAAATGAACTTACTTTTATTTTGATTCTTTTTCACTGTGTTGGTATCAACAGAATTGTTTCCAATGGACATGTTTAATTCTTGAGCCAAAGATTTGAAGCTGTTTATTGCTTGCTGCTTTGAAGGCATTTTCACAACAATTTTGCTTAAAAAAAGGAAATTAGATCTTTTAAAGAACTCAAATGCCAAATAGATATCTTCATTTCTGTTAATAAAAATTTAGAATAAGGTTTAAAGGTCCTATTAAATTAAAACTGAAGAGGTTTTGTTAATAATTTATTTAATTATATGCTTATGGTATTTGTAAACATTCCTTGCTAAATTAAAACTTGATTTTCTTTACAAACAGTAAAAAGAACAAATATAAAAATCTTTTGAAATTCACATAAAATATGAATTTAACTCACTCATCTATGAAAGAGACGCTTGAAACAGAGCCATACTGAGTAAAAATATTTTTAATAATCTGTAATAAAATCAAGAAAAAGCAAAAGAGGATGAAAATTGAAAATCATTCATGAAAGGTAAAAAATACAAAACTGTAGTTTTACAAAGAATTTATTTCAAGCTGCAATCATCTATATAATTAGTTTCTTCAAAATACAAGTCACAAATAAAAGGAAGAAAATCTACATTCATTTAAAAATGTAATTAAAACATCCGCTTACTAAAACAAAAAAAATTCTAAAAAAAAAAAATTTGTATAGAGTAACAGTGTTTTGATATTTGAATTTAAGATATTGGTAGATAAATTGAAAGTTGCTTGTTTAAGTAAAACCCTTTGTTGATTTTGATGAAGGATTGTTATAAATTAATTACTATATAATACAAAAATATTCTACCATAAAAAAAAATCCAAGGTTTTTGTAGTGTTGAAGAAATAAGAAACAGTAGGGGAAGTAAAATGTGGAAAAGAAAGATTAGTATTCTGAATCAACTAAAGAACCAGAACCAGTAAAAGTTTTAAAGTAAGACTAGCAAATACTGTGAAAACTTTCAATAGCATCTGTGTGTGGATTGTGAATTTTAAATGTTTTTATGCTAAAAGTGATAATAAAGGAAAATGAGATGCATTTTCATTATTTGATGCTCTTTTATTTCCAGAAAGGGAAAAAGCTGTACAAACAGCAAAAATGATGCCATTTATGGAGATGGTGCAATAGCTGAGACCACTGTTTTGAAGTGGTGTGCTAGGTTAAAAAGCAGAAATTTTGATCTGGAAACCTGAGAATATTCTAGAAGGTTGGCAGTCATTGGCAGTGACCAAATAATCCAGGTTACATAACACAGGACATCACAGATATATTCCCTGTATCTCATATGTACATAGTAAGTCATTTGAAAACACTTGGATACATGAATCACTGCAAAGTTGGGGTACCTTATGATTTAAAAGAAAAATTAAATGGTCTGCATTTCCATCTGTGATTCTCTGCTCAAGCACAATAAAAATAACCATTTTTTTAAAAGAATGATCACAGATGATGAAAAGGATTTTTTACAACAATATGGAATGAAAAAGGTTGTAGAGAAAACAAAAAGCATCCAAAGAAGGTGATGTGTATCTGGTGAAATTGGAAGGACTGTGTATTTGAACTTGTTCCACAAAAGTTCTGATTAAAGGGAAGAATCAATAAAAAGTCTCCAGAATTGGCTAATCAGATAGGCATTGTCTTCAAGACACATGTCTTTTTGCAGATCCAGCAGAAATTGGTACAACTTGGCTGAGATGTTCCACTATACCTGCCATACTTACCTGACCTTTCACCTTTGGATTACCACTTATTCAGATCCCAACAAAATTCTCTTAATGAGAAAGATCTAAATTCTTTGGCAGTCTGTAAAAACCACTAAGACCAGTTCATCACTGAGAAAGATGCCAAGTTCTATCTGAAGCTGTCTCGAAGATGGCAAAAAGTAGTGGAACAAAATGGCACATATATACTTGAATAAAACTATGTACAAATAGCTAAATATTGTCTTTGAAATTCTCTTTGGAAATACTACAAATTTTTGTTCCAACCCATTATTTTTCTATAGAAAAGGAATAAAAATATTTAAAAATGATCTGAATATAATTGAATATAGCATATTTTTTTAAAAAACAAAAAAAACAAACTAATGATTCAGGCAACACATTTAAAAAGATTATCAGACAATATGAAAAAGTATGAAAATGAGAAAAAAATTCTTACATTTTCAGATTTTAAATAAGTATCCTTTCTGTTTATAATTAAGGAAAACAATCCACTGGAATCTGGTTGAATATTTAATGAATCTTCAAAACCTTCAATTAAAATAAAAGAAATCAATGTAATAAAAGAAATATTTATTGTAAAATCAAAATGAATTCCATGAAAAGATACAATTACACAAAAACATAGAAATCGTTTTATATGTAGAAAGTTATTATCCCAAACATTGTATACCATAAGATAATGATACAGAAGATTACTTACGAGTTTTGATATTTGTACAAAATCCTTTTTTCTTTGCTTCAATATCTTCTAACTGGGGCATAGCAGAATTCATTTTACTGTTGCAAGATTTATTGTTCAAATTATCTTCACTTGCACTATCATCAATATCTTCTAGTTTGGGCATTTCAGAAAGATTTTCTGCTTTTTTATCTGAAAAACAGATGCAAAAACTTGATTCACAATACATGAAATAGAACCTGAAAAAACAGTTTAAAAATTTGTTTCAATATAAGAATAAAAAATTAGAATTTTTAACACATTTTTTTCTGATTACAAGTTAAATTATTTCATTACTTCTATTTAAAAAAGACTTTTATATTACTAAAATAATAATACTTATGAAATTGTTTAACTAATTTGTTTACATCAACTTAATTTATACAACAAATCTTCTGAACTCACTACATAACTGAGCAGAAACTTCAAAATGTTTAATCATACAATTTACTATTTTCATATTTATTGATAAGTAATCCAGCATACATATGATACTAATAAATATAAAACTGGTTATAACCAAACATAATTTGCATTTAGTTATAATATTGGACATTATAAAATTAATTTGATTAATTATCATTTTTTATCATTAATTATGGTTTACATCTAAAAAAAAAAAGAAAAAAAAGATCTGCATCTTAAATTTTCTTACTGAATTAATAACAGTAACATAAGAGGGAATAATTTTATATGATAATTGCTTTTTTTTTTTTATTAACAAGTGCTTTTATTCCATAAGTAATTCAATACTTTTGAAAAAAAAAGCACTTTCTTTTGATTTTAAAGTACCATCAGATGTAATAGACTTAAGAAACCATATCAACCAAAACAATGATAAAAATAACCAAGATGAAAATCAGTTTGAAATGTAAAGACCCTACATCTTGAAATTTCTGAAAGCTGTAACAGAATTTAATTTACAAAATGACATATTTAAAAAAAACAAATCAAAATAAAGAAAAAATGTAAATTACTTACTCTGCTTATCATCAAGTCTTACAACCAATTTATGCCCCATAAAAACTTTATTATTGTACATTTCTACAGTTTTCTCAGCTTCAAGTCTGTTTGGTAAATTTGCTAAAGCAAAACTGAAATATAGTGATAAGAGAATCAATTTAATAATTTAAAAAGAAATCCTCATCTCAAATTTAAAATTTTTTAGTACATTATTTTTCTTCTTCATATACAATTCTAAAACAATAATGAAATTTATAAATGACAACCATAACAACAAATTTTATATAACAAAAGTAGGAATTTTAAATTTTCATATAAATTCTAATTGAGAAAGAATAAATAAATTTTCCAGGAAAGGAATACCAACGTTAATACTAAACAATTATAGTTCTTTAAATGATTTAAAATGATTTTTAAATGATTTTGGTAAAAAAAAAAAAAAAAAAAAAATCAAAAGTCAGTACTTACACTTTTTTTTTTTGGTTTACTAACTGAAAAGAGGTAAATTTGACATCAAAGAACTTCAGTATTTGTGTCTAGAAATGAAACAAATGCAATTATTAATACAGGGATGTGTATAGTGGCTATTGGCATGAAAAGTGTGATCAGCATTCAAAGTTCAAATTATGGCTGAGGTTGTTGCATAAATTTTTGCATTGTGTAAAAATAGCCCTGGGAAAGGTACAATTCCATCTCTTTTACCTCCAGCAATGGAAATAAAAGCAGAAAAGAATGGACAATTCAGAACAAATGATGGCACTGGAAATGACATAATGGTCTGCTTGGGCAGCCAGTGGAGTGGCAACATTTAATGACTAAAAATGAAAATGCAGAGTCAAACCAGTGATTATAAAACTACTAATTCTTTGAAACATACGACAAAATTTTTGTTTTAAGTCAGACATTTACTTCTATGAATATCTTCACCGGATTTTCTATATGAAGTTGTCAAATTCAAATGATATTTAAGACTTAATTAAAGAATTTGTTTTTCAGCTGACTCTGTTATCAGCAATTGCCTTTGTAGTTCCACATTTCATTTATGGTAATCTCATCATTCAATAGAACCACATGCAACATTCACTGCTATATTAGAGATTACATAGCAATTCAGCATTATTTTGGTCTTGCTACAGTTATACTGCTTGCATATTTTCAATCTAATTCTGCTATAAATGCTATTCATTAAACTCTTAACGATTAGCTCAATTATGTGGTTTATGAAACCACATTTACACCTGGTTTCATTAGCAGGGCTATGAAAATATATCTGCTGAGATCTTCCAATATTTCCTTGAATTCATAGATTTCCTTCAAAATGTCAGTAATTTTATTTTAGCTGTATCTTCATTACTCATCTGGTCTTGCTGCTTTTCCTTTTCATCTGCTGACCTGACCTCAGATTTTAATACTATAAATCTGTTTTTATGTATTATAGGTATTCTCTCCTGTCATCATTGAATGTCATTAACTGCATCCTGCCATATTTTCTATCCTGCTATTTCATTTATCTTTTTATGCATTCCTGCTGTGCCTACATTTGACATTTGTTTTACATCTGCACATTTCATACAGTCATTCATCTTTTGCTTTTTTGAACTTATTTCTGATGTTTTTGTTTAACATCTTATATTCTTATGCTCATCCATGATGTTATTTGCTGTCTTGATTTCATTAGTCTGAGAATTTCATATGTAATCCACTTCTATTTTCCTTGTTTCCATCTTTGGGGTGAATACTTTTGTCATTCATGCTTTGAATTACTAACCTCTTCCAAATATTTTTATTTGTTCTTACCTTCATATATGTTTGCAAATAGTTACTGTGGAATTTGTTGTATTTTAGTTTAGGTATCATTGTTTTGGGTTTCTGTAATTTTTCTATGTTTAGCCTTAGTTCACATGTGACCAGGAAGTGATCACTATTATAGTCAACAGTTGAAAACTGCATTTCTAATTCATTTGTTGATGGTTAGGTAGGTAGTCTAGCTGACTGCAAGTTTCCTCCTGAGCCATTTCATGTCCAC